AACAAAGCAGGCCCGGCTCCAGGATGAAATGACTGAGGGAGCTGTTAAAAAATCCGAGGGGGCGATTTTTTTTTTCACAACAACGAAAAATACTGGCAATGTAATGAATTGACACACCAAGCTTTTTTCCTTCTCACTGCTCTACAATCTCTTCGCTTCTTTATTTTTATTCTGGATTTACCCCTCTCGTTCTGTTCTTTTCCTCTGATCTTTAATAACAGATAGTACATTATTAGATGGCTGCACTTTGGTTAACAGACTAACATTGATTTCCTCCATTTATAAATTGGCTCTGTAATTATACCATAACCTTTTCTCCTCTATCCCTTAACTCCTCTTCCTATACAGATGTTACTTACTTACTATCTATCTAAAAAAATGTATAGTTTATTTTTTATTTCCAGGATTGAATGTTAAGACCAAGGCCTAAAACCTGGCATTTCATAAGAAAGTGACTAATATATAAATGTAATATTGGATAAAACACTACACCAAATGGACAGACACAGATTAAAGTGAAGTCCCCTGGTTTGTCTCTAGAGTCTAACTGCCATGAGAAAAGTCAGATCAATGTTCCACAATCCGCCACTAGATGTCGCTCATTGTACCAATACAGTTTATATAATACAGATTACCACAACAGAGCTGTGCAAATGAATTTCCCCCTGGGGACAATAGATCTAATCTAAACTAATGTAATATTCAATCCCATACCTGGCCATTGAGAACATACATTCCTAACTTACCTCGTTTAAAGTACTTTTGTTGTAATACTATGGATTTAGTTGACACCTACTAGCCGAGTTTCTTTTGTCCAATATCTCCCGGGCAGGTACATTGAATTAGAAGAAGAAGAGAAGAAGAAGAAGAAGAAGAAGAAGTAGTAGAAGAAGAAGTAGTAGAAGAAGAACTACGCTAACGCTACAAAAAGGCACAACACTGTGGCCGTTTCTCAATGTCGAGGATGCTTCCTTGGTAGCACATGTCTTCCGAGTCACAAAAAGGCAACAACACTGTGGCCAGTTTCTCAATGTCGAGGATGATTCCTTGGTAGCACTGGTCCTTCGACGTCACTTGCCTTCAGAAGCGACGGCAAGAATCCTTCCTGGCCAATTCGGAACAAAACAAACGAGTCGGAACAGGCGAGCAGGTGTGCAGGTGTGCATCAATGAGAGACAAACACACACCGCCTTTTATTTAACATATATTTACCCGCAACCAGGTTTGGGGAAATTGGGTCCACAAAAAACCAAGCCGCAACACAAAGCATTGTAGAAGAGGGAGCAGATCCCACCATCAGCACGGGACACCACAAAGTCTACCACAACAAAAACGATCAGCCTTGAAATTACCCCCAAACCACCGCGCAACCATCACCTCAGTGGAATTCGTATGCTCGGCGTCGGACACGCCTCCTACTTCCGCGCCCGCACTCCCGATTCACACGCACAATCCCCTACATTTATATTATTTTTAATACATAAGACAACAATATAGGCAAACAAACACCGTTTCCATCAGAATTGAAAATGGCCTTATTACTCCATTATATTCTCTTACTGAAATGTAACTTTGGGAATTTCACCTTGCTCTATTCTTTTTTAACGCACATTCACCAGACGGGACCATTTTCCGGGATCTTCAACCGGGTACCGCCCACCAAAAACGGGGAAACTTTCCTGGAGAACGGGGGCGTTCTTGGTCCACCCATCCGACTGTGTTTTACAGCTAACACACACCACTAACATTAAGACTACAAGCTCACTTGGGGGTTGAGGCTTTTTTACACCGTTGCTTGACCCACACCCATCTGATCTAAACATAGTGACGTGTGTCTAGGCGACACATCTATTATGCTATTATTTAAAGTTATTTAATAAATTGTGACATTTATTTTAACTTTTTGATGAGCCAATGATGCTCGAAGGTGAGGGGGCAAAATAAGACAAACTGAGGTCAATGCCCACTTTTGCCCTGCTCGTGGCGGCGGGCCCCGTACTACCCCACGCTTGAATAAACAAATCAGAAACGGAAATACACTTTCTTTGAATTGAATTCAGAGATTCTCAGAACTCAACTCTTTTTATTTTGATCACACCCCCTAAACATGGTTTTGGGATGTGATCAAAATAAAAAGAGTGAGTTCTGATTTTAACAAAACACAGGACTTGCTTTTCCAAATGCTGTGGTTCAGCAACATCTATGTTTACGTTTCCGCTTTTGATCCCAGCCCACAAACATGCGTAACTCTCATGAGTCAAAACTAATTGGACAGTCAGGCAGATATGTCAAAGAATTGTGCTTTTGATGATACCACCCACACTGAACTTTGGGCACACCCGTTAGAGGCATGCGCCTGAGACAGATGTTTGGATATCAGGGGCCATACACATACTGTCCAATGGCGCCAATGGTGACATTTTTTAACTTGGGCATCTGGTTTTTATCTTACCCCAGTAGTTACGATCCTGTGACGACATTTCCGGACTCGTACACTTACATTTTCAAGGATGGGAATGGCAGTGGTATCATCTTACACACATGCTAGAATGTAGCTAACTCCATGTATTGGTATTCAGATGAGGCCTGCGAGGTGACGGCACCCAGTCTGCGTATCTGGTGTAGGGAGGCGGCGGGCCTGGCTTCCACCCCCCTGCTTCCAAATCATCAAACCGTTCCATTCATGTATCCCCACACCGCGGTCTTCCTTGGCCCCTGCCACCCGCAAAAGATCGAGCACAGTGTCAGCACTGCGCAGTAAAGTGCATGGAAGCATTGGTACGGCTACAATGCACCGACCTGGACGCGCCCCAGTGGACCTCTCCATCTCATGAGCTGGGCCTAGACCCCGAAAAGCTCTTCCACACTCGCAACCAGGCGCCGCACAGCTCCTGACTGTTGAGGATTGGGCTGCTGTGACTGCCCACAGTCAGACCACCTCCCGTCGCCACTGTGCGTATTGACCACCTTCGCTATACCCTCCTTCACAACGCCGCGCATCTCCTAGGTGCAGGTAGGATGTGGTTTAAACCATCCTCCTCATGTGTGCATGGTCGCAGGTACTGATTATCTGTTTCCAGTGTTGAGGGCTGTCAAGACTGGTTTTCCAGGAAAGGAGACAAGCAGTCTCAGCTTCTTGTCTGCCAATGCGCAGAAACTCTGGGCCATCTTCCAGGANCACGCAGTGAGTTTTTTACAGTCACCATTCACTTAGACAGTGAGAGGAGGGGCATGATCGGGTTTTGTCCCACATGGCTCTGTGCCTATTGAGCTGTTTAGAGCCATGTGGGACAAAACCCGATCATGCCCCTCCTCTCACTGTCTAAGTGAATGGTGACTGTAAAAAACTCACTGCGTGCATGCTCAGAGAGTATTTTCCCTCTCTTACGCCTCTTATACTGGGGCCCTCCTTTCGGCCCCTTCTCGTTACTTCTAACCTCCAGAGGACGCCCTCTTCTTGAGCCTCCCAACAGTTCCATCCCGGACTACGCGGGATACCAGTAATAAAAAAACGGTGTGT